ATGAGAGCAGTTGACTGCTAGAATTCTCCTCCAGATGGCGACTGAACTTGACCTAGCTAGGGTCGAATATCCTGCTATTGCCGGGATTCGAAGCCCGGACCCCCTGGTCAGAGGGACTGCAGTGACAGTTGATGCCCTGAGCCACCTTTCCAAGTCCCACTCTTTGACCCTCAAAACAAGTTTTTTTGTCAAATAATCTGTTTTTTACTTCAACCTTACAATAGTTTCTCTTCACAATGAAAGTAGTACACGAGAAAGTAAAAATAAATATATGATTACCAAATTATCTGTTAATGTACATAATTCATTATTTAATAAAATAAAAGAAAACAGAATCTCACAGAGCATTCCTGATAACATGCTGATCATATTCCAACATTAAACAGTAGTATTTAATATACAGTGTATAACATTATAGCTATAGCATTACCAAAATTATACAATACCAATGTTACACCACATCAGTGAACAGTAATAGTTTCTATACTCAAACTCAAAACCTCTCATATTCACATAAAATATATAGAATATAAAGCTTTACTATTCACTGCATAGTAGTATGATTAATGCCCTATATTTTTCATTCGAAGGTAAAACTATAACAGAACATAGCATGTTCTGTCATGCTATTTCCCCATTCTTAACTGAAATCTTCGTACTTCCTTGCTGAGTTCTTTAATTAATTAATTAATTATTTTCTTTCAGTCTTTCTTTCTTCCGTACAGCAAAAAACATCTGTTCCTGCACACCCAGCAAAAATGGTAGGGCTCTTTAAGACACAAATTAAAATCAATCTCTGTAACTATGAAATGTACGTTACAAATGTAATTTCAAGTTCTCCCAAGTTGACCATACATACTGTTACAAATTTCCCACTGTGATACACCAACTTCTAGAGACACCATTATTATAAATTAAAACAGTTTCTACTATGAATAATATTTCTCAGAGTAATACCGAAGCATTTTTGTAGCAACTACCATATTATTATTGTGAAATGGAGTAACTATTAAAACAGCATCGTCAGAGTCGTTCTGTATAAATTGAGGAGAGAGCCTTCATTCATTTTTGATATCGCTAAAAATGTTGGTACCAATAATATTCATGCAACAAACAACAGAAGCTTTTTGACCAGGAGTATATTTAAGCGGCCGCATTCAGGTTGTCCAAGGTCTATTAGAACTCTTACATCTCGTATGAGCAAGAAAAAGAGCAAAAACTAATTGAAAATTAAAATTAATGGCAAGAGAAATGAATATTATCAGACAGCACGAAGGATGTAAAGAAGTTACCTTGAACAGAAAGAACTTCAATGCAGAACTGTGCACATCCTAATACAAACTGAAGAAGCAGAGTTGGTGAAATGCAGATCTTTTCTTACGCTGCACTAGCAAAACCATCATCAGCAAACTCTCTTCTTCAATCAGAATAGTTTCAGAATTGAAGAGCACTTTGAGCAGTGAAGACTCTTCTTTAAGCCCTACATACAATTATAGCTCGTCAGAAGGCAGCAAAAATGAGAGCACTGATCATCTGACATCATTGGTTGTCAGGCAGGGTGTTTCTTACAATGGTGTGTCTGATAATCACTTGTGGGAGAAAGAAGTCAAATCAACCATGAACACGAATCAAAACACAGAGTAATGTTCTGTTGTAAAACCTTTAACTCAAACTTTGTTGACAGGGCAGAACTGGAGATTTTAACAGGATTCTGCTCCAAAACATAAGGCCAAGCCCACTCAAGAATGACTGCACAGAAATGATCCAGATTTCACTTCCGTTGCTGAATATTTTGGGCTATCTGGTTGTCCAGATCTGAATTCTCTTGATTAAAAATTGTGGTCATTGCTTGAGGAAATTGCCTGCAAAAAGAGACATCACAAAACAGAGTCCAAAGACAATTTTGATGACTACTGTTGCCAATTTTCCTACAATCCTCATGCATGACGCTATTGATGCATCATCAAACTTTAAAGGTCTACATCCAAGGATAAGACCAACATTTTGAATACACTATATACATTTAGTAGAGTAAAAATGTTCTTTTATACATAAAATTTTTATATATATATATATCTTCTATTATCTGTACTCCAGATATTTCTATTTCAATTTGTAACAGTATTATGCCCAAACTGTGTACATCCAACCTATTAGTGGTTCAGACGGTTGTCAAAGGAACATGTTCAGGCTTACCACCTGTTCGATAGACTAGGAACAAAGGCTGGAATTACACACCACTGTCTTCCTACGCATAACAGTTACCAAAGTACTGACTGAGAAACTGCTCTCTGACGATTTAACTTGTGTAATTTTCTACACATGATTGCAATACGAATGGTAGTACTTAGCATGCATATGAACAACATTTTTTTAAATTCTAAAACCAAGTCTTCTGTAATAAGACCTTCCTCTGTAATGGAAACCACAACATTTTTGCCAAGTCAAATTTAATTTATTCATCTGAATAAATGAGCTAACACTTGGAATAGGCTACAGGCATTCCAAATTTTTGAAGTAAAATTAACCATTAAATAAAAATAGTTTATTTTACAGTTCCCCCCTAAGGAACCAAGGTTTACAAAATCTCCCTCCTAATCAAATAAAAAGACATAAAAGTAGGATAGCATTTTGAGTATAAATAAAAAACTATACCATCTCTTTTACTAATAAGAATAAACTAATAACAAAGAAGTAAAATGTATATACATGAATTCTGCATATGTTTGGCAATCATTTTTCATTTATAAATAGAAACTTTTTAACATTCAAAGGAAATAAATTATAAATAAAAGAGTTTTCCAATAATGCTCTTAAGTGTTACAAAACCCTAATAACTAATATTAAAAAATGATTAACATCTAAAATAAATATTAATTCTAATGAAAAATATATATATATTTGTTTAAATTTGCATGTAGCTTACAGAACAAATTGAACACTGAATGAGTTTGTAGATCTAGTAGTGTAGTACTGTAGTTACAAGATAAACATTTATTTCAATACTTATATTAAAGAACTTCTGAGTTTGCGGTATTTACAATCGATTTATGAATAATTTTCAATTTTTATTTAATTTTCCTCCTCCTTAGATGACAGTCGGCAACCTTAATTCTATACCACTGATGCAGAATTCCATTATTTTTGTTATTTAAGTAATTGCATAATTTTGAAGTTTGGAGAGTCAATTAATTATTTAAAAAATTAGCAATAATTAAACCAAATAATTAGTCAACACATTCTCAATAACCATGATGAAAAAATGTTTTTATAATATTTTCCCTGGTATTTTTATCCCATTTTATGAATATTAAGATTATCAATTCTTGTTTGATCAACTTTAACACATCCTAGTGAAATTAGGATGTGTTAAAGTATAACTAACGAAAAGAAAAAAGTTAATTGCATTATCAAAAGACAACAACTTTAATATACCCTTATATATCAAAAAACTATTTCCCAATTGCAGGTGACAGAAACGCACAGCAAAATATTTGGGCAAAAACCCATTATTATTGTTATTATTGTTGTTGTTATTATTATTGTTATTATTGTTATTGTTGTTATTATTGTAATTATTATTATTGTTGTTATTATTATTATTAACCAAGTCTTGGATTATAATATCAAAGTTAATAATATATAATTAGGGTAGTATATAATGAACAATGTTTACTCCACTTTGTTTCTGACTTAATATTTCAGACATTACCATTAAACAAAAACACTCTCTTACAAACATTAAAATATTGCATTCACATCTGATGTCCTCACCATAATAGAGTATTCAACATTTGTACAAACTTAACCAACCCACTGTATCAAGATGGCTATTTTGTTATAAAACAACAGACAATAGGCATCAACAAATGATAAGCGTCAAAGCGATATTTGTCAACAACAATACCTTAATAACACACATTCGTAAGCAACAATTTTTAAAAATTGAATACATTTCAAAGCAATTATTACAAAAATTACTTGATTAAAACTTATTGAATCCCTGTGAAAGGCAACCATGCTTACACTTAAATTTTTAAATACCATTTGAGCAATCAATTCAGAAATGGAAAAGAACACTGGAATTTGTCTCTTCATCCACATTCTCTTTCCTTTCTGTCAACAGTCATATTCACCATACTGTTCATAGGCAGTAGTGCAATAAATAGTTGCAATAAATTAATAGTGAAAATTCAGAAACAAATTTGTACATTTGCTTAAACAAGTACATTTACTAAATTGACATCAAGATTTTATAACCAAATGAATTGCATAAACACTAGTAAGGGAAAGTAAACGTTAATGCATTGAATGACACCTATTTGAAACAGAAACTATTACAAGAACAAATTTTAAAATGAAGTACATTCTAAATACTATTATTATTTACTAAAACTCAGTTGAAGTTGTATACTTTCATTCATCTACAAAGCAATATTTTAATTTCTCGTAAGATAAGCAATTTTTCAATTACATGTTATATCCTACTCATGATAAGCTTTAGTTGTCTGATTTCAAGAGTAACAGCTGTCCTCGATTTTCACACATTACCAGTCAACTATCCAGTTTTTCTGGCAGTAAAATTTTAGTCTTTTAATGCCATTAAATATAATAATCTTACGCAACATATCAATGAAATGTCACACCAAAAAACTTCAGGTATGACTCACATTGAGAGTTTGTATCATTTAATAATTCTGCGTCTTCAATTGCAATATTCCTTACAAGATGTTGCTGACTACGTAAGGATAACTAATACCTGGATTTCTTGGATAATTATGAAATGATAAATGATGAATTCCGATTATATGACATACTGTCCAAGACTACCATTTCACAATCACAAGGTCACACGTAGGAACTGAACCCCCCAATCCTGATACAGAGTTGTTGCTGATTTAGCTGTCTGTGCTCTTTAGGTACCCTTCAATGATGATTAAAAGCAGAAAGCTATTTTCCGATGCTAAATAATACACAAACAAAATAGTGACAGAATTTACCTGGACTAGCCAGGGTAGGAGGCAGTTCTGCTGGCGGAGCCAGCCGCCAGCAGGCTTCACTGTTAGTATTCAGCTGCTTAATGTATGCACCTGAAACCAATGAAAAAGAAAAATTTTACAAATGCATATTAATTGAACATGGATGATATTTATAGTAGGGAGAAACAAATTAACCTCTGAAGAAATAAAACAATATAGTGAAAACACAATTGAAGATAAGTATTAATTTAAGAATATTTTAACATTTGTTTAATATGATTTGTGAAAAAATTTGAAATAGAAGTTCCATGATAACACCATTTTCAAATAACATTGGTATACAAGTGAAACTCAGGAAACCATTTACATTGCTAAGCTACATTTTTTCAATTCTTTTAATTAATGAAATTCTTGGGGTCCACGAGCTTAGGTCAATTATAGATTATTTTGTTTTTTTTTCTGAAGGCAAAGAACAGTCAAAATATACATGAAAAATTCATCTTCGGGCCAGATTTTTTTGGTTCCTTTAAGAGAATATTTCATAATGAAATGAGAGTTAAAATATATCCCAGGTTGTATCTTCTATTAAGAAAAAGATATCAAGTAGGCAAATTTAACACAATCTCTAAACATAGTTTAGGATTTAACAAAAATTGCAATAATCAATTGCAATTATTTTCATCAACATACTCCAATTTTTAATGAAATCTAGAAAAAAGATACTATTTAACCAAAATCACTTGTCACAAGCATTCAATACTACTCTGCACACAATAATATAACATTCTATATAGTACTAAAATTTTTTTTTTAATTATTTCTAGAAATAGAAATAAAGCTACTAAACACTCACTAGGAACATAGCCTTCTCCACCTGAACGTCTATTGAAGGCATGGAGCCAACCATTTGACGTCACCAATCCTTCACTTTTAACATGAATATTGGCTATCTCCAGCACATCATCCACTTGAAGAGCAAGTTCACCTTGATTATGTGGTGTATATGGATACACAGCTTGAAACAACACAAAGTCACCCATAACTATTACTGAAATAAACTCCAGCTAGGTGACCAACCATTGTTCACATAATATACTACATTAAGTCACTTTGTAAAGTAAGTCAGAACACTGAAAAACTGTTTTGGAAACACTACATTAAAACACAAAACGATGAAACAATGCTTCTGGAATTATAATTCACAGTATCTTTTTCTGGCATAATACTATACACAATATTTTTACACATTTTGGAATTTTGCACACAATTGCACACAACATTTCCTATCATTTTCATCCTCTTGCTTCACCTAGGACAAATAAACCAAGAATTACATATACAATCAAGTACCACATAAAATTATATATTTATTCAATTCTATTTCATATTCACATGTAAGGAAGGTATTGTACAAATACCCCCCCCCCCTCACAAACCACTGTTTTATAATGTCACCAATAAATTAAATACAAATTTCTCTCTATTAATTAAGCAAAAAAACTACTATTTCAAATTCTTCAAATAATTTCAATATTTACAATTTGAGTATTTATATAAGAAAAAGTTTTCTAATTTGTCACTTATAGCTATGAGTTACCAATTCAGTGTCAAATTGTTTTCCAAAATAGGTTAGGTCTTTTCCCATGCACTTTGCATGCTTCTCCATTAAAAAAGACATTAAAACAAACTACCTATATCATACTTACATTTGTATATAACTGTCGAGGGGAAATATAAGAATTAAATTTTACTTAGCAAATTACTAAGCCAAAGAAGAAAATTTCTTCAAATCATTGCTGACAGCTTTTCAACACCTAAAATACACAAAATTATATTAAAATTAATTCCTCATAACTAAAGAATAGAAAAATTACAACTTTTTTACAATTACTTCAAAACACACATTATGGGTTCCTATTATTTGATTTAATATAGTAACTGGCAATGTCAAACAAATGATTAGCAGGTCAATATCTTGTCTTGACAAAGCAGGCACAATACTATACAGAGTAGAATACAATTTAAATTAGAAGCTTTTTTAACATTATAACCAAAATATACCATTCCCTGAACTCCAAATATGAAATTTATAGTTATGCACACTCATTGTATTTGTTGTAAATTGCAAATAAAATGTGGAACTGACAGAACACATGGAACTTAAAAAAATAACAATTGTATTCTTTCGATGGCATAAATTCCCAACAACTAACAGGTAGATTTAATTAATCAAATATTCATTAAAGCATATTAGCTTCGATTCCAGACAGTTAAGAAAGTAACTTTGTGTCCATTAAAATCACTTGAAGGATACCAGTCTTCCAAAACTAACCTCCAAAAATGACACTTAAAGAAAACACATTTTCTCACATTTAGGAAAACAAATATACACCCATAACCAAGTGTCAAATTAAATGAAGGTTTATCAGAGTCAATAAATACATTCAAATTCTACATGTTACATCTACATATTACAACTTCTACATATTCAATATAAAAATCAGACTAATGATACAGAATATTTACAACGTAATTGACAAATATTTCTTTTATAGGTAGTTGTTACACTCGCTAACAACGACACAGTCTCCACAATATACTAGAAAATTTCTGACTAGAAAATACAACTTACGTTTCAGCTGGGATTGACACAAACACAGCCAAAGGGAAGCCACAAACACACAGACGCACACTAACAAAAAATTTTGTACGAGATATTATGGATTTCTCGATAATTTATAGCATTTTCCTCGAGACTGACATATCAAATTTTTAACGCACGTTGGAGTTACAAGTTCTCTTCTTCACACCGCCGGAAGTATTTTCTTGGGATATGGTCTCCCACTGAACATAGGAAACGTGACGTCACAGACCCATACGAATTTATAATATGGCGGGAAAGTGGTATCGCCAATGAGGTAATCACGTATGCTGCAGTCATTATCATGTGAGATTTCCCGTATTATACAATTAATGTATTTTTTATTTGATAAGGTTATTACAGAGAGGAAAGCTGCTAACGTAACGTAATTTGTTGTTCCGTTTATACTATGATTATAAACCATTACGGATATTATAAACATTTACTGCTGTGGCTTGATTCTATCACAAGAGATTCATTATGCGACATTTCGCATTTACTTTTAAAAATATATTTTATTTACAGGTCATTCATTTGAGAAGTGGTCCGATGCGTCAATTAGCTTGTAACTTCGTTTATACCCGCAGAAACCACATGCTACAAGTTGTTTCTGTCACCTGTTCTTACTAAGCATTTTGCTTGTAATCGAAAGCAAAAAATAATGCCCCCAAAACACCGTTTTTAATTCTGGCTCTTTTTCCTGTTGTTTTGAAACAAAGTCTGGGAGGAATAGAAAAATTGTATCTTCGCGATAAACATTTCTCATGTCTTTCTGTCTTACAATATACGCATTGTAGCAACCCATCTATAACAATGAACTTCATTTAAGTGATATCCAGGATTGTTTCTTGCTCTTCTTGGAAAAGATACGAAGGAGATAACTTGGTTTCGTCGGGCTATGCCGCATTACTCATGTCCAATAGGTCATAGTTCGGTTTAGGGGGTGCTTATCTGGATTTGGTTAGCGTCTTCGAGCTCTCAACGAGACGGCAGAATAGTCTGAAAAACCCCTGCGAGAGAAAAAGAAGTAGCAGTGTGGTCGCTTACTATCTTCCACGAGAGTAGCTGACTTAGAAGGGCTTCCCAAGGACAATCCCTGACCTCGGCGACGCGCCTTTCAAACACGAGAGACATTGAGGTAAGCGGGAATTTGTGAAATTGAATTAAATGTTATTTCTCTATTTTTCTAAATTTGAATTTTTTGAACGATGTATTTCACATTTCGGGAGCTTGGGAATTCTTGTATTTTTCTTGTTTAGTAGGGTTTGACCCAGAGTAAGGGATGAACAGCTTGAAAAACGGATGGTGGTCCGAACGATGTGAGTTGTGGCCGGGTGTGTGCCTATCTTTGGAAGTCGATGAAGTTTTACACGAGTCAAAGTCGCAATATCAGGATATCCTCGTCCTTAAAACGTGAGTCGTTTCTCTTGAGATTATTGACCTCTATGATGAATTTGAAATTGCTAAATGTTAACGCATAGTAATACAGTAGCACAGATGTGAACAAAGAAATAAACCGTTCTTTACCTATGAAAACGCCTTTATTCACATTAGCTCTCACAATTTTTAAAATTATTTAAAACATTTCTTTGGAATTGCAGCAAAAATCATGGCAGAGCACTTATTCTCGATGGTATCATCCAGTGTACTGAGGCTGATGAATTTACTTACCAAGAAATGATTGCCTTTCTGCCTCTTTGTTGTCATAAATCTCCCAAAAAGGTAATAAAGATAACTTTTTATGGTACTTCTAATTGTGATTATGTAAATGTTATTTTCATAACTTCATAAAATTAGTGGATAAATTCACTTTAATATTTTTACATTATTTAAATTATAAATTATTTATTTATAGAAAGTGCCTAATTTTTAGTGAAGCCTTTAATTTCCTTTTTGTTTATGAGCAGGATAGATTTTGAACTTTAGATCTAGTGCTGTACCCAAAATGCTACCCAGTTAGTATTTAATTTTTATATTTTATAAATATATTTCTGGAATGAAACGTAAGTTGTGAGCTTATTTGATGTTAAAGATGTTGTAAAATGAATGTGAAAGACATTCTTAAATATTAAATTAAATTGGCATTAAGAAAGAACAATGCTTGTCATTAGTTGAATAAATTTGAAAAATCATGGTATGGTACCTAATTTTTTAGTTTTTTTCTATTGAATGCCTTATTTTCTCTTTTATTTTCACATGCCGTAAGAATTAACTTTGAAAGTAACATTTCAGCATGCTTTACTGTTTTATAAAAGGTTTCTAGTTGGCACAGTGCTGAAAATTCGTTCTTTTGCATTAATAAATTGGAAATTTCTTGATGCATTGGATGAATTTGTATAGCTTTGAATTGGAAGAAGAAAAGCCACAGCAAGCCTTCCAATTTTTATAAATGTTGATAACACATTTTCAGTGAAAGTGTGGCAGATCTTTTAACTATATCTTGTTCATATCTATGAATGGCTTGGGGCATAAACAAGATGAGCCACACATGACTAAAATGGAAAAATTAACATTTACAATTAGTGGGATGCTCATAAAGGCTGGTGTGGCTTATCATGTTACTGCCCCAAGCATTTAATTTATCAATTGTGTATGTAATTGCGTTGTATATTTTTATGCAATATATTCAGTTTCTGAATAGAAATAATTTACAAAATTTCCCAATAGTCTCAACATAGTGTCAGTATTGTTCCATTCAATGATGCAATTGATTAACAAAGTCATTTGCCATAACTACAGTTTTATAAAGGATTACAATATTTGCTTTTTTATTTTATCAAGTTGTTATGATACCTCGTGTTCATTACCTCTCTAGGCTAAAATATTTCACTTTATTGTACCAAACAATGTTTACTTCTTACACTTGGAGATGATGTTCACATTCTTTAATTTTTGCATTTTGAATGAAGGTTCTCGTAATTGGTGGTGGAGATGGCGGTGTTGCAAGAGAGGTTGCAAAGCACCCATATGTGGAGAGTATCACTCAAGTGGAAATTGATGCTGAAGTGCTTGAAGTTTCAAAGAAATATCTACCATTTATGGGCAAAGGACTTAGCCATCCTAAGTTGACTTTGCATGTTGCAGATGGTTTTGATTTTATGGCTCAACATCAAGAAGAATTTGATGTTATCATTACAGATTCATCTGACCCTGTTGGTAAGCATAAAAGGCACCTTATAATAAGCATTTACTTTGCATTCTGCATGATATTAGAAATGTTTTGTAACTATTAAGATGTAGACATACATGTGTAATGATTAGGGATGAATTTCTGTGAACTAATGAGGAAATAAGTATGCATTTATGGCCGTAATTCATAAAAGTTTAACCACAAAATATAACTGACTGTACTTTTAAATCAGTTTTTATTATTTTTGTTTTATTTTTACATTTAATGGATACTCTGCATCCCAGAAAAAGTGAATAAACATTTTTGATAACACTTGTACCAATTATACGTGTGTCAAAATGAGAATCTCTATTTTCGGAAAAAAGGTCAAAATTGTGAGAATGAGATATGACTAAAAATACTTTTTTGTTCCTAAAAAGGTCTCTCTGATTGTTTGTAATTCATTAAACAGACATTGTAGTCCTCAAATTAAAAAATTGACTTTAAGAACTGAACTTTGTAATTTGTGATTTTGACTTTGAAATGACTTATATGCTTCAGAAATAAACTTTCTGTAAGTTTATAAAATTGACTGGTAAAAAATATGCATTTAGTAAATTTTATTTACCTAATGTTCAGTCATTTTAGGTTTTTTTTACAATTGTTTCTTTAAAAAAAGGTTTTACTACAAAATTTATTTATTTTCAGTAAAAGACAAACTATTGTAAAGAAATAAAACAAAATACAAACTAACAACTTGAATGAACTAAGTTGCTTTCCGTTTTAGATGATAGAACACAAAAAGAGTTTTAAAGATAAGTGGAATTAACCCAATAACCTGATTTGGGGTGGAATTGCACAGATATTCTAAGAATAACCTGATAAACATTTCACCTAAATACTCATTCTGGTATTCATACAATAATTTTTTTAATGAAAAGTCATAAAAAAAATTGTCTGTATGTAAATTTTTAAGTATTTTATAATATTTTAGTTACAAATTATGCAGTTATTTACAAATAAAAACCACACATGGAATTATGGTGGTATTTTAATCTTAAAAATCTGCCCCTACTTATTAATGTGAATACATATAAATAAAATTCAAATATCTGCTTGATTTCAAAATAACTGACTTTTTATAATCTCATATGTTTATTTAGATTATATAGAAACCAATTTAATTGTTTTAACGCTTTTTGTCAGTCTGGGTTAATCTCAAGAACTGTTAAACCCATTTTAATGGCATTTTCTCTTAAACAGAGAATTTTTGTGGGAATAACTTTGGCTATTTGTTTTTTAAATTATTATTTTCTATTTTATAAAGAAATTCCTTTTAATGTATGTATATCTAATTTCTTGTATGTAAATCTGTAGCTCTGTTCCAATTTTAATGGAATTTTGTAGACATGATCTTCAAAACAATAGAAAAGTTATATCTACACGAGATGTAAACTTACTCCCATCTTCCTTTCCTACCCCTTAAATGAAAATTAAGTGGTATTGCTTTCAGTTTTTCACAAACAATTCGAAGTAAGTAAATCTAACTAATGTACTTAAATATTTCTGAAAGCCCATAAAATTTCCTAAATGCATTTCAGTTCATTCCCATTGTGCAATTACACTTTGAGTAATCAAAGATCAAAACTGTTACTGGGAGGAGAGTAAAGTGTTCTTTACTATAACCGTTT